GATATGCTGTTAACAGGCTGCCCCCAGCAGGCGCCAAGCATGTGGTTCCTTTGGGAATCGAACCCAAACCTACACTATGGAACCCACTTTGTTCCAAGGCTGAAAAAAGGTTGGGAAACACTGGTGTAGGTGGAGAAGCAGAGCAGACACGGTGCCAGATTAAACTGGTAAAAACAGCAAAGTCAAATATGAAGGAGTGGATAATAAACATGGACTGAAAAAGTCTGCCTGGTTATAAAATCTTGAACAACACAGAGCTGTGTGAGTCAGCGCGACACTTGGTCCAAAGTTAGAACTCAGCTGGAGCAGTGGATGTATGTTTTTTAGATGACATAATGCTCGCAGATGTGTGTTTTCTAACTGAAAGGGTTTTATATTTTTCAGCAGAGGCTGCGCTCTCTTTATCAGCTCAGAGCAGAAACAGACCTCATTAGACACTGGAGTTAAAAATAACAACACCACGGGTCTTTGAAGGCATCATTTGTGTGTTTTCTTTTTTAGAGATGCATTTGACCAAACAAGTCTTTGACAGTATTTGTTATTTAGCCAACTGGGGATTGGAGACTGTGTGGAATTGAACCCAAAACCTAATAAGAATTCAGAACCGAAGTAGGAGCAGCTGACACTCAGAGCCAATCAGAGCACAGTATTAATGTAGGCTAGGCCAGTCGTCTTTTAACATTTTAATTCTACTATATATTTAGCACAAGTGCCTTGCAAGCAGAGAGTCATGGGTTCAAATCCCAGAAGAACCACGTATCCCTAGTGGCGCCTCCTGTGGCAGCCTGTGTTGGTCTGACACAACCTGAGGGGAATTAAACCCACAACCTGCAGCATTAAGAGTGTAAATCCTACTACTGCTCACTGTAGCTCTAGTTTTTTTTTTTTTAAATTCTGTATCTCTGTAAAAACAGTGAAGGTGGTGTGTGTGTGTGTGTGTGTGTGTGCGGACGGAAAGAGGGTCCTTGACTCTCTGGATCATGGGCTGCAGCCAGTCCGTGTTGACCTCACAGTGACTGTCCAGAAAGGTCAGGATGGCTGCAGAGGCCGTGTTTGCTCCCCTGACACGTGAGCGGATCAGACCTGCAGGAAGTGAAGGACAGAAATGAACCAGCCGTCCACCTGGTGGCTGCACCCAGAAACTACAGCTACTAAAGAAATCTCTGTTCTCATGGCAGTGTTTCGTGCTGTGTTCAGGCTACTTTTGTTAACCAGAGAGTCCTATTAAGAACTCATCCAGAACCAACAGAGGCAACAAAACACACATGGGAAAATGTTTTACAAGATCAGGGGATGGTGGTTCAACATGTGGCTCTAGAGGCACATGCCTCTTTAGTCTTTGCATTGGCTCATAAGAAGAAGAATAAAAAGAAATCATTAGTGATGCATAAAATATCAACTAGTTTAACATGTAGATGTAGCATGTAGGACTGGCGGGTAAAGATAAAAAATAAAAATAAAAATTCAGTTTGCTTGCTAACAGCAAAATGACACTTTTTTTCCTTTAACTAAAGATTGGTGGTGCAGTTTTCAGTAGTAAGTGTCAAACTCTAAAATGACTTTTTTATGGTAAAGATTGGTGGTGCAGTTTTCAGTAGTGTCAAACTCAATGATGATCGTGACCATAATTAAATAAATAAATATAAGAATATGAGCATCATCCAAAACTGAACTTTGTGTTTGTTAGGGTGTCACCACTAGGTGTCACCTGCTCTACCTCATTCAAGTGAACCATTAATGGTGGTGATTTTAACACCTGGTCCGTACAGAGACACAGCAGTTCACAGGGTTAATGAACCAGCCTTCCTCTTCCTCTGTCTCCTAGCAACCACTTCAACTACTGGAGGAAATGTTAAAAAAGAAATACTGTTACTGTGGAGACGATGATGGCGTTGAAGAAAAGTGTATTAACACTGGGATGTGAAGAGGACCAGGTTAAAAATAACTGGTCTGTGTAGTAGTTTGGTTTCATCACAGCTTATTGTCACAGTCCATTAGAAACGGAGAGAAAATAATTGTAACGCCTGCTTTTCCAGAAGGATTGGAACAGTAAAAGTAAAAAAAAAAAAAAAATCGTAATATTGTTGAACTAAAGCATTAAACTAAATTACAACATAACAATGAGGCAGGGTATTTCTGTTAATTTATTTAATTAATCGCACATTAACGTCATTCTTTTTTTTTTCTTTAATTGTGTTGCTCAATGGCTCTGAATACATAAGTGGGCAAAAGCCGGGTCACCGTGTGCAGGGTGGTTAAACAAAGGTCAAGTAAAGGTCAAATATAGACCTCAGTCTTTTCTTATGTTCGTTTCTATTGAATATAGACCTCAGTCTTTTCTTATGTTTGTTTCTATTGTATTTTATTTTATTTTATTTTGGACTAAAGCTGTGTTCACAGTCATGCTCCCGTCACACCTGTCCTTATGGTTTCCTCCCCCGTCATCTCCTCCCTAGTCTCACATCCATGTCCCTCACACTCACCCTCTCTCCTGTTGTTCCTCAGGCAGCGGACTTTAGGGATCTGAGACAGCAGCTGGCAGTCGTCGGCTGGAGGAGGAGGAGGAGGAGGAGCGCAGGGAGAAGACAAGAGGAGAGAGAACGTCACCAGAAGACAAACAACTGAGTAGACGCAGTACACACACACACACACAAACACAAGTACATGGACATACAGTCACACACCTTCAGTAAAGGTCGAGCAGCAACTCAGTTTTCATCGTACGATCTCAACCCAACGTCCGTCTACTCTGGACTACAGTCAAATTCAGAGTTTTATTTTATTCAATAATAATATTTTGAATAAATACCTACAATAACTTTGTCTTTATTTCGTTCCACAAGATCTCATGACAGATAGTGTGTATTTCAGAGTACTTGCATCATTCATACACAGACACATCTGCACAATTAAAATATGTGACTATAAAGAACATGAAGAAGAAACAAACGTATATGAAATATATGTGTTTAATATATGTCTTTGTTCCTGCTACAGCAGACCGTGATGGAACAACTGGAGGAGATCAGTGACTTTGACCTTCACTGACACAACAGAGCTGTACTCTCTGCTACAGGACACAGTACTCACTGCCCTGACTCTACAGATGACTGTCCTCGCCTGAGGACACTGTCCTCACCTCCGGGCAGGTCTTAACAGGATTACATTCAGATTGACAGAGAGGACAATCCTCCCTACTGCTGTTGACCAGCCTCTTCCTCCTCCTCCTCCTCCTCCTCCTGTCTGACCTCACGCTGACCAATAACATCACACTCTCACTGATTGGCTGTAGCCATTCTGTCTTTAACGTGATTCAATAATGAAGAATATTTGAGAATTTCATATTTGAAAATGACTGTTTAATAAATGTTTTTTTTTTCTTTGGAGAATTCCAGTCTTTTATGTTGAACACAAGCTAAAATAAAGGTGCAGTGTGTAATCTTTGCAGCCTTTTTGCGTCACTGTGGTTGATGTAACTTTATGGTCACACCAACACCAACGTTCCTCCTCTGATATCCAGGTACATTTAGACGGATTTACAGAGAACGAGGAACGATCCGGACTGTTCAAAACCTGCCTGACTTCACCAGGACTGAGAGAGAGAGAGAGAGAGAGAGAGAAAGAGAGAGAGAGACCAGAGGAGCCTGATTGGAGGCAATGTGTTTTTGAAGTTCAGAGGCAACAGTTGCTTATTTCTGCAACTAGATGGTAAGGTATTTTAGTAATTAATTATTAGCAATTTTGCTTTCGCAGCTAAACAAGATTATTAATTTTACAGTGATCATCAATTCAGAAAATTAACATTTAGCATTAAAGCGTCATGTGAAATTTTTAATACTTTATCAGAGAGAGGGAGAGAGAGAGAGAGAGAGACCTCTACATTGTTGTTGTTGTTTTCTGTTGTTTTGACAGATCGACTGCAGCAGCGGCAACAGCTAAATGTAACAAATGAGTCATATGTGAAATAATGGATTTCTCTCAACCAGTGCTGTCACTGCAGTTAGATGTCTGCCCAGCTGTGTGTGTGTGTGTGTGAGTGTGTGTGTGTTAGTGACCAGTGAATGTAGGTCACTGTGCTCTACTCCACAGACAGAAGACGCAGCCGAGTGTAATTAGAGAAAATGTTGCTGGACAGTCAGAGTCATGAGCTCCTGTCATTCTGCTGCTGACACAGAGGAATACCTACTGCAGAGTACTTGTACTGCAAGTATTTGAACAGTCATTACAGAAATACATGAACCCAGATTTGATGTTGTACTGTCTGTGATTGTAGTATAAATCTGAAGCAGCAGGTTCTACTGTGTCCCTTCATTAGTGCTCACCACAGACAGACTGTTTGTAACCCAACCTGTGACTGATGCCTGATGGGAATCAAACCAGAGCCTTTTACATGAAACCAAGTCCTTGATTCTTAGGTTCCAAACCTCAGAGATGGAGATCTTCTCATTTAGATGAGACTAAAAACCTTCCTGATCAATAGACGCTTCAGTCAGAGCTGGCTCACATGTCACTGAGTTATTCTTTGGTGACGCTGCTTTAGGCCTAGACCGCTGGGGGAGGGCCTGCGGAGCGCTGAGTCTATTTACTTGTTAAAATAAACTAAACAACCAAATAAAGTTTCTCTGTGTTTTCAATGACAATTTCAATATGCATTTTTATAACTATAAAAAAAAAGGTGTCTCACGGTCAGAGCTGAAATCATCAATCAGGAGTATTTCCTGGATCAGAGACGGTGGACTTCTCATCAGGACGCTGGGAGGAAGAAGACACAGAGAGATGAAGATCAGATGTCACTGCTCACTGCTGTGTGTGTGTGTGTGTGTGTGTGTTCATGGTGGTTACCTCTTGATGGTGCGCAGGAGTGTGGAGCGAGCCTCATTGTGGAAAGTGATGATGATGCTGGTGGCAGGAAGGTCGGAGTCGTATGTCAGAGCAGCACACCTGTGGAGAGAGGGTGGCTTCAGTCACTTGTCACCTGTTGTTGGTGTGAACACACACACCCAGACCCACACACACACACACAGCGGTGGTTAACAGCTCTGCCCACTGCTGCCACTGGACCTTTTGGAGACACCGCTGCTGCTGCAATGACATGGAAATATCTGGTTGCCAGGCAACAGCAGCTGAGAGTTCTGACCCTCTCATGGACCGAGAGCTTCAGAACAAGGTGAGGAGACGAGGAGATGAAAACATCATACATCAGGGTTGTAGTTTTGGTACTTTTGTTTCTCTCATCTGTGACAGAGAAGAATGTCTCTATTTTCCGTCCCGTGTATCTGAGCCCTGACCTCTGGTCCACTACACCTGGACAAAGGCTGTAGCCCGGCTCACCTGTAGTGTCGGGTGTCTCTGATGGCTCGCTCGCTGCCCAGACGGTCGCTCTCCTGCAGGTTGAAGGCGTGCTCTCTGTACGGGTCGTCACCCGGCTTCAGCTGTTTGGCCGACAGGTAGGATTTCTCATCGAAACTGCCCAGCAGTTGACCCTGCTGCTCCGGCCTGGGGGGCTGGGTCACCTGCAGAGGGCAGGAAGAGGAGCGGTGAGGTCAACTGATGTGACACGGCACCAACGTCAGCTGTATTTGGAGCCAACAGTTCCCTCCATCACTGACAACAAACAGTTCTTCTGTCATTACGACGAGGCTGAATCACTCAGGGATCAGTCGGTTCTGAGGAGCTAGTCTTACTAAGAGGACATTTAGTTGGATTAGCTTAGCTTAGCAGAGCTAAAAAAAAAATACTCAGAGCCGCACATCAGCTGAACCTAATACTACTACAGAATTCCTACATTAATAAGACGGGAATCATACAGGAACCTGGAACTATTACTTTACGTCGAGGTTCGACCTACAACAACAGCAGCTCAACACAGGTGACTGCAGTGATGAGCTGGTTACTAGGCAACAGAGTATGTCTTATGGTTTTAAATGTTACAAATATCAGAGATTTGACAGTACTACAAAAGTACTACACAGTACATAGTATATTATCAAGTATAATTATTGTCCTGTATCTTTCTTAAGAACTTGTTGTGTCCTTAGGCTCCGATCGTCTTCATCATTCCGAGCCTTGAACAGCCGCCCTTGACCAGGAACTTTAATTCTACACAGTGAACTTAAACATTTGTGTCAAATTAACAGAAATCCTCTCTGTAAACACTGGAAAAAAGCTGACCTTTAACCTTTAACACAACGTAATCAGGTCTTTTATGTTTGACTTAACTGTAGTGAGGTCACGATGACCTTCAACATGGCCGCCAACACCTACGCACGTACGAGTGAGTGATATTTTCTACAGAACCAGAAGGTTCAAAAATATTCCAGAATCACAGAGTTTTCGTGATTAAAACCTCCGACAGTTTAGAGTTTGTCTGTTTTACTGGAAGCAGTTAGGAATGCAGTGTCCACCCTGAAGACTAATGGACACTGGGACTAGCTGATAATGTTGACTGATTCACTGTGGCCCTGCAGGAACTGTGGCGCAACCCTGCTGCAACACTGACGGTCAACAGACGGCCATGATGAAACCATCAGAGCAAAGAGCAAGACTTCGCCATAATGAACGAATCAGTGAAGGACAAGAACCACTGACAGAGTGAAGCAGGTGACTCTCAGGTGAGGAGAAGAAGAAGAAGAAGTGGAGGAATGACAGAGATCACAGCTGCTTCCTGCAGCCTCGATGGATGGAGAGAGAGAGAGAAGAGGTTTCTGATCAGACGGCAAGATGAGTGACGTCTGAAGAGGGAACCTTCAAATATATAAACTTAATTAATGAATCTGCTCTCCTCTTTATCCAATAAGGAAACATGGTTTTTACTATTACACTGGCAGGGATTTATTTTAACGTCCTGGAATCTGAGCCTTGTCTGAGTTAACCCACACCTGGTAACCTGTTGTTGCCTGTTTTTTTTCGCCGTTCAAGCTCATGATTCTCAGTGGTTCAGACACACTGGAGCTCCACTCTGTTTAAAGGCGTTTTTTAAATCGCACTTGTTCAGTAATTATAGTACATTAACGACGTGCAACATGACTCACCAGGAGAGAAAAAGAATCAGGGAAAAAAAAATCAGTCACGTTTTCTTCACCTCTGTGGAGAAAAAACCTCCAGGAAATAACTGTTCATTTGTCCAGTGACATGAGGACGTGAAATGACAGTTCAGTCCTAACGACAAATTAGAGCCAGAGGAATTGACTTTAACATCATCGACAAGAATCAGAACGATAAACCTTCCTGTCGTTGGCTTTTCAGACATTAATGACATCGTCAGCAACACATCAATGAAGTAGGACAGAGGTTAGCCACCGAGGGCAAAAAGCAGCAACTGAAAACGAGATTGTTGATTGATTGGGTTAAATAATAAACAGCAGAGTGGAGACGAGTGCAAAAACCAAGGACAAAAACTACCAAAAAGTCCACAGTGTCCAAATAATGGACACCAATCGACAGCCTGTCCCACGGCCCTGAGAAGAAACACTGAAACCCATTCCATTATTTATTAAGACCAATCATTTAAGCAGCTCCATCTAATCAGGCAGGACATTAGCACAGAGGGAGTGGACCTGTCAACAAGTCACAATCAGCTGAACAAAGACAGTTTCTTTTTCCTGCTGTTGACCTTTTATTATGGTTAAACCCTAAGGCGTTTCCTCCTCATAGCTTCACTAAGTCAAACAGGCGTCACATCTCATCGATATCTGCACTACTGTGGTTCAACACTAGGGGTGCTTCTATAGGTACAATGGGACTAAAAAAATAACAGAAGGCTCGTCTGTGGCTCAGTCTGTGGCTCAGTCTGTGGCTCACTCTCACTGAATTAAATATGATGATCACACATACAAAGACTCAACCAATCCCAGACACCAGGAGTCGTCCGTCTGGCAGCAGACGAGAGTGGACGCTGCCACCTGTCCAGTCAGACCGGCTTGAGTCTGATATCATCTACATTTGTCATTCATTTCTGTCCACAGTTCTACATTTCCGTCAGTGTCTACTGTTCATAAAAATCAACCAACAACAAAGAGTTTGCTTTCAGTTTCTGAAGGAGGTCACGGATGCTGACCAATCACGTCTCCTCAACGGTCCCAGACAATGTCTGCATTTTCACAGGGCCACAGTGAGGAAACTAAACCAGCCGTGATGTGGTCTGTTTCAGAGCTAATTAAAACCCCGGACACCGCAGGTTTCTTTGTAGTCTGGAACCAGTGAAAACTGTTTGATGGTTCATGAGGCTGCTGCAATCAGTGAGGCGTGAGGCTGGTGAAATCCAGTCAAATGGACACTGAATGTTACAGTTGGTTTTTCTGAAATATGCCTCATATAATAAAACCAATGCTGAGCTGGTGTGTGCTCTTCAACGCCTCAGATTCACACAGATGGTTTAAACTGGGGATGAGTTTGAAGAGAAAACGACAGCAGATGGCAGGAAACGACAAAAGTGAGACGACAACAACAAGAATCTTCATTTGATGTAAGATGGTTTCACCTCACTTACAGCTGGAGTAGATTTGAAGTGCAAGGATTAAAAACTGAACAGGCAGGTAAATGGGAGTGTCATCTGCAAAAGGACAAAGCTTTTAGGAAAGACAGACAGAGAAAGAAAACTGATCGCAAAAACAAACTGGGACAACAAACACAGCTCCAGCTCATCCTCGTAATGACGACTTGAGTCGGTGTCTAAATTAGCCTCGGAAAAAAATCAGTTTATCACTTTTTTTTAGTTGATCCTCCAACTGTTGGTTCATCACCATGAAAACCAGTGAAAACACGGCGGCAATTCTGCTGAAAATCATGATAAAAATGTTTGAAAAAGAACAACTCAGGCGATATTTTTTCATTCAACCTTTGAGGCTAGCGGTGCAGAAAAGACCCAGGACACAGCTATCGATAACAAATGAATAAGAACCCGACGGCAGGCGCGGTCTTATCCTGGTCAATAAAAATAGACTTGAAGTATTATGTCAAGTCAGGTTTAAAACCAAGAGATGACTGACTGTAGAAGCTGAGATAAAACCATGGGAGAAACAGAAGAAAAAGTTCTGGAACAAGTTCGACCTAAATCAGAGCGTTGCTGTTGAACTGAGACGTCTGTTCACAGAAGACAAACATTCCTGAAATCATGGTGTTGTCGTAGTGAAGTAATGACTCCTCCATAGAACTGATGACATCATCTCTGCCATGACTTCAAACTCTGACTCTTGTCAAAACCTGGATTAAAATTCACGCAGTTTTTGTCAATTATTTAACTACAATCAATATTGTAAGTAAAAAATATATTTTTCACAAAAATATTGTTATGCAATATAAAAAAATGCAACCAGTTAATTATTGTATATTATTGTAACTAATAAAGAGCGTGTGTTTCCCTGTCCTGCCTGCGGTCCAGAACCGTCTGTCTTTAATAATGAATCAAAGCCAAGTTCATTATCAGATTAGTTTTATGGACGGGAAACGTTTGATTGGATTTGATATTTAATGTCTCTGCTTCATTCATTTAGAGAAACATTAACATTGACAGAGGATTTAATGGTCGACACTGGTGATTGATCAGTTCTGTGTTCTCTTTAAAAAAGGAAACCAGCCAAGAACAAATGTTTAAATGACAAAAGTCCAAACAACTCTGGCAGAGCTGAAGTCTGGGAACTGAACCAACAACCAGAGCTGAGACAAACACTGACAAATAAGAACCAATCGATGACTCCACGACACAGACTGGACTTCCCATAATCTCCAGGAGGGATCAGTGTGTGGAAGAAGTGGACGTTTGAAAACACACTATGAAAACTGAGAACCAGGAACGAACACACACACACACACACACACGTCCATAGATGCAGAAGTGGATCTGGTTACAGCTCGTCCACAACAGAGGCCAAAGGCCAGAGTGATGACAGCAGCTACTCAGAGAGAGAAGAGATAGGGGGAGGGAGGGGGGGAGAGGAGGAGGGAGAGCCAGGGGAGTGAAACAGGATTAGAGAGGGAACATGTTCCTGCTGCGACTGATACAAATGGTGCAGAGAAAATGAAGCCCGAGCAAACAGACCTTCACTGATGATGTCATTAGTAAATTAGATGCTGCTAAAAAAGGATGGAGGAGAGAGAGAGAGAGGGAGAGAGGGAGAGAGAGGGAGAGAGGGAGAGGGAGAGGTGAGGAGTGAGGGGTGGGGGGGGGTGTCAGGGCAGTAAAGAATGGGAGAAGAAAGGTGAGGTGAGAGGAGCTGTGGAGAGAGTGTGAAGGGAGGAGAGGTGAGGGAATAAAACCAGACAGAGAGGAAACCTGAAATAAAGCTCAGAGAAATCTAAGAAAATGTATAGAAATATTTTAAAGGCCAACCGGAGAAAAGAAGCTAAACTAGAATGATGACAAAGGAAAACTGAGGTAGAAAAAGGAAATGAAGGTAAAGTGTTTCAACAACAAAAAAAATCAAAACAAAGTAGAAATGATAGAGAGATAGAGAAGGAAAAGAAACCAAAGGAGGAATCAAGCTGGAAAAGATGGCTGAAAAGGATGAAGTCAAATAAAAGGTTGATTAGAAGAAATGAAAAAGAACCAGTGGAAATAGAACAAACAAAGGGAAATAAAAACAAGAAATAAAATAAGAAAAAAGAAATAAAAAGAACGAGTGAAAGAAAAGCAGTGAAGATGAAGGTGAAGAGGAGGAGGCGTTGACTCTCAGGTGACAGACCTCACTGACACTGAACAAATCCAGGTTTACAGCAGGATAAATCAACAGTGTTTTTGTTGACAGTGTGTTCAGGTCAGACACTGATCTGAGGTCAGTTTGTACCACCGTCTCTGTCGCCACTGCACTGCTTCACATTTGGCTCAAAGAGCCCGTCAGCTGGATCTCAAACAAACCTGACAAATCTAAAAAAAAAAACTAAAAAAAAAACTGTAAATCTGACTCAATTACACTCATGTGAAGTAAAACCACTTCGCCTTCGCAGCCGTGGGTAAAGTGAGAATTAGCATCACCTACAGGAGGAGGTAGAGATGAAACCCCACAGAGTCAGTCAGTGAGGCTGTGAATGTTACAATCAAGGACCTGCAGGAATTTGAACCTGAAATATAAATGAACACCTGAAATATAAACGTGTTGATATTAACCTGAGACAGAATTGACATTTTTCTCAGAGGATTTCTTAAACACTTGGTCTTTGATTTAAGGAGCTTTCTTAAACACTTGGTCTTTGATTTAAAGAGCCTGAAGATGATGAAGATGATGATGAAGATGAAGATGATGATGAAGATGAAGATGAAGAAGAAGATGATGATGATGATGATGATGCAGTGACGTCTCAGGCACTTTTATTTCAGTGGCTGCTTCATTTCCTGTGCAGCCACTGTCTCTTTAAGAGACTTTTTTTTTGGTCACATCTAATTGATTTGTCTCAGCAGCTGCCGAGTCAATAAAAGAACAACAACTAAAAAAATAGATTTTTTTTTTTAGACTCCCAAATATCAAAGAAACTCACAGAAATCTTTTGAAAAGTGTGGTTAAAAAGTCAATTAAAGTTAGAGCTCAGATTGAAGCCACTGGTAAATAAAAGGTTAATAAATAAAGATGTGGTTATAAAAAGCGTTGACAAATAAAGAAAATCAATATTGTTAAATCTACTCCCACTTGAATCAACATTGTCTTCAGACAATATTTGCTCTCAGAGCTGGAGACTGAAGCTTCCTGTGTCCTGCACCAAAGTCCATGGAGAACACTGTCGTCTCTACTGCAGCTCCAGGGACCAGGACCTGGAACCAGGGACCAGGGACCAGCTGGTCTTTATGACGTCACCCTGTGTCACGGAGGTGAAACCAAACTGAATATGTCAATTACCAAAGTGGTTAAGTGACAGGTGTAAACTTAGTGAAGGAGGCAGCAGTGAGCTGACCACACCTGAGCAGCAGTTTAAAACAAATGACTGGTCAGTAGAGTCAGTCTTTCACTGAGGAGGAGAACGGTGGTCTGTCACTGACTGTCTTCACTCTCTGGTCCAATGAGAAGCTAAAAAAACCCCAAACTCTCTGAGCTTGTGTGTTTACAGTCTGTGAAATGTCATGAAGCAGATTCAGATATTTCAATTCATGCCAAAATCTCTGGGTCTATTGGAGAGCCAATCACTGATGGTGTTGTTCCTCACTCATGTTCACTGGGGATTTTGTCGACTGTTTGGTTCATTCAAAGACTGAATGGATGAAAATGAAACAGGAAGTTATGACAATAAACAAATCTGTCGATGTTTTAGTCGACTAATGGACCAATCACTGCTGCTCCGCCATTCCATACAACTTCTTCATGTCAGATACCAATACTGCACCCTGGAGTACCCCGGAGTACTCTGGAGTATCTGGAGTATCTGGAGTATCTGTGGTCAGTTAAGTATTTGGGTGTAGGTATTGATCGATGTTTGATCCAGAGATTTGGATCAGTATCGTAACAATATCAATCCTGAGTATCGGATTGAGCCATCCCCAAATAAAGGATAAACACGTAGAGAGCAGAGCCAATCAGAGCTGGTTTTGGTCTGGTTGGACAGAGATATTCAGTGTAAACTGTGTGGACGACTTGATTTTTCCAGTCGTGTTGACTCTGCCTGTCAGCGTTAACACGACTCCTCCGTGATCTCCATTTGTTCTCACATGAAAAGCACAGAAGTTACAGTGTGTTCACACTCCATGTGACAGAAAACCCTGAAGGCACCACCGTGGGAACACGCAGCTCCAGACCCAGGCCTGTGGTCGACTACAGGGTCCACAGGCCACGGCTTTGTCTTCCTCTTCTTCTTCGTCTCCTCACTGTCCCCAGGTAAACAGGTCTCTAATCACAGAGCAGCAGAGGCTCCTCCCCCGTCTCCCCACCCTCCCCCGTGTTTTCACTTCACATGTTGGACTCCAGGACGGTCTCAACATAATGTGGTTTAGGAGGTGTTTGCTGATGGATTTATGGAAAGCCTCTTACTGCTGCTGCAGGTTTCACTCAGGCCGGTGGACAACAAACAGCCCGGGGTAAACAGTCTGACCACTGCCCAGGCAGCAAGGACAGGGCCGGGGGCAGATAGTAGGGACCATTAAAGTCACAGTGTTAAAGCTGCAGGTCAGTCTGTCTGAAGAAGACGTGTCAATAGAGGGCGCTCTAAGCAAAACTCTACCAGGGATTTACAGGGAGCAAAATATTTTTCCGTCTCCCTGGAAGTGACCAATTACTGCACGTCGTTGAAAGTAAGATAAAAAAAAAAAAAAACCACACTGGTCCAGATTCACTCCTGCTGTTAGCATGCTGTTAGCATGCTGTTAGCATGCTATTAGCATGCAAGCTCCACATTCCAGCTGAGTGGACAAATCCAACAGCACAGCACGTGGAGCAGAGCTCAGAGTTGGTTTTTCTACTCAACCTAAAATACCTCACTTTCCACCAAAATGTTACACAGCACCAACAATGCCTCTGTGCCTGCGCATCAGGAATACAAACTTGTTTTTATTACAATGTTGCAGACACTCAACCAGACGCAGAGAAAAGTGACAAAATAAAAGATTTACCAGCTTCAAAAACTAAGATAATCTGAGCCTCTTCTTCAGTGAGTTGATAAAAAGCCACTCACAGTCGCGGTCACGTCTCCTCTGATTGGACCAGGAGGAACGGTCGGCGTTCACGCTGCACACTTTTATTTTTGAATCCTGCACCGACCAATCAAAGCCATCGATTAGACTTCAAACTCACAGCACCTTCACTCAAGGGTTTCAAGCACCTAAATGACAGCAGGTGATGAGCGTTTCCCATCAGCACCTGTGTCTGTGTGATGTCACATGGTCACATGGTCACATGGTCATTTGTATTGCTACTTCTTTGTTCTTTTCTTGTGCTATTTTTTCTCTAAAAAATACTACGTTTTAAATTTTCATAAACCTACGTCATTTTATTGATAATATCACAACTTTATTCTCGTTTTTAAATTTACAACTTCTCATAAACTTCAGATTATTATTATTTTTTTCGATATAACTTAATTCAACTCATAATTTTCCAAAGTCTCTTCTCTGATACGATTCTACTTTGACTTTGACCTTAAAATAACATTTCTTTGTCCCACGTCCCACTCTGAACCACTCTCAGTAAACACTGCTCGTCAAGATCACCATCTTCTTCTACTGTGCAGTTAGGAAATCAGCTACACTCAAGAGTGCCCCCTGCTGGATCACGCTGTTCCTACTTACAGTAACAGAATCTGAGGAATTCTCAAACCAGGTTTGAGCCACGTTGTTCGACTGCTGACTGAGAGGACGGAGGTTCAAGTCCACTGAGGAAGAGGAAGGTTTTTCACGGCCCTCGGCCTCGGGGTAACAAGGTTGTGGTTGTTATCAGAGGTCCTGGGTTTGAATCCCAGCACGGCTAGAACCACTGACACCAATGAACACTTTACAAACGGAAACCTCTAAGCCCTGATCTCATCATCATCATCATCATCATCATCATCATCATCATCATCACCTCCAGGTTCCAAACCCACTCTGTCCATCACATCAACATGCAGCACACACACTCCTGCAGCTCCAGCCTCAGACTCCGTCTCACAGCGACTCCGTCTCCCCCCTCTCCCCACTCTCCTCCATGTCTTTATCTCCGCTTTCTCACCCCCCCCCCCCCCCCCCCCCCCCCCCCTCCCTCTCCCCCCCCAGCCCATGGCCCCGCGCTTGC